TGCAAATGTATATTTGGATGTATAATCCAACGTTATTTCAGGTTGACATCAGTGTACATAAATTTTGTATCAATCCAAGCCACATGCTGCACTGTAGTAATCACGAGTGAATGCTGACATCAACCTTAAAGAAAATGTTGTAGTAATATATATTTATCACGTACATATTTACACAGTATGACATGGTGATACGGCGGAATGTTGAAATTGGAACTATTGCTGAAAAATCATTGTGTGCACCTTGTATGTTAATTTTGTTGAAGCCAGTGTTCTATTTCAAGTGAACACCTTGTGTATGTAGTGTGGTGATTCTGCTCGTTGGTGATATTTGCTTCAATTTACTAGGATTTTTAGCTCCGCTGTCGACTTTGTCGAGCAAAGCTTATCATATGAGTGATTGTCCGTCGGCGCCGTTCTTGTCGATGTTTTACTTTTTTGACTTCTTCTTGAAAACTACAAGCCTGAATGCTTTGATACTTGGTGTGTATGTACCTGGGGTAGACCTCTCTTAGATTTGTTCATTTCATGATATCTTCAATTCTCTAATTTTGGTGAATATTTTTGGTAAAAAGTGATATTTTCGACTTCTTGTTGAAAACCGCAAGTCCAATTGCTTTGATATTACATATATATAGGTACTACATGTGGACCTCTCTCAGATTTGTTCATTTTATGTTGATATCTTCAATTCTTATTTTAGTGAATATTTTTGTAATTTTTGATAAAAAGTGATATTTTCGACTTCTTGTTGAAAACCGCAAGTCCAATTGCTTTTATAATACATATATAGGTACTACATGTGGACCTCTTTCAGATTTGTTAATTTCGTTGTGATGTCTTCAATTATCTAATTTTGATAATTATTTTTGTCATTTTTGGTGAAAAGTGATATTTTCGACTTCTTGTTGAAAACCGCAAGTCCAATTGCTTTTGTATTACATATGTAGGTACTACATGTGGACTTCTTTCAGATTTGTCCCGTTGCTTTTTATATATATATTGTTCATTTTCTAATGATATCTCCAGTTCTTTAATTGTAATGTGCATTGCTAACAGCGGAGCTATCTCAGCCAACAGGCTGCTTGTTTTTTAGTTTCAACTGATTTTTCGGAGGGGCTCAATAATATTTCTGAAAATACACACATGAGCTTTGTAATAATGAACCATTGTTTCCATAATCCGTAGATGTCAGAGGTATATAAATCCACAATCTCTGGACAAACTACAGGCAGTGCGTACAGTAAAAAAATGTTTGGCTGTTTGTGACGCATTGCGCATAATGTAGATATTAAAACATTTGAAATTTTCTGTAGATATTAATTTGTTATTCATCCAAGATTGATGGTTACTACCAGTTGATTTAAATCCTACATATATAAATATATCCATGATCTGCACTCACGAGAGAGATTAATTTTATATCCATGATCTCTCTACAAATTTTATTTATAGATGTGCACACTCTATAGAGATTAATTTTATATATACCAGTAGATCATATGAATTTCTACAATTCTGATGTGTCAGGTGTTCAATTTACTAAAAAACTGCATGAAAATTTTATTTTTTAGCGTGTATATATTAACACTTTCAGTGCCAATGTCATCTTTTATCGAATAAACCCGCAGTATTTGTTCATACATTTTGACTAAGACCTGTGACCATTATAAAATTATATTTAGTTGTCTAAAATTAACAAATTAGAACAAAATATTTATTATTATTGGTGGGAAAAATAATGGCACTCAAGAAATTTAGTATTTTTTTTTTCTTAATAATGTAGGTATCATTGTTGTAGTGTAAATCATAAGGGGTTTGTGGTTTTATGGGACTTCTTAAAAATCTTCAGATGAGTTGGCACGCTTGTGATCAAGCCAACTGTCGCTTTTCAATGCAACTTTACATTTTTGCCCCTATTACTAGTACCGTACATTTTATTGAGGGGAGGCAAGTGGGGTAGCTGGTACGGTTTTACGGGAAATAAAAAGGGTTTTTTTACAATATACAAGAAAATAAAGACGTTTTTACAGTTTACAGTGTTAAAAAATGGAACATTGAATGATCCGAAGAGCTCTCCAACTCAAATTCTCCGCCATTACTGCGCCGTGTGTAAAGACTCATGCGCATATTACCCTCGTAATGCTCTTCATTCGGTTAGAGGGCCTTTTACGTCTTGACATTGAATTTTGTAGTGAATTGTGTCATCTAGTCGTTTTACAATGTAATTTCCCTGGATTATTTTTTACGATTTTTTTTATAGGATGTAAATTCTTGTACGTACCGAGAAAAATGACACATTTTTACAGTGTACGAAAAAAATATTTGATTGATTACGTTGTACGTCTAGCCGGTGATTACAGAATTACGGAATTTATTTTTTCTATTTACGTTGTACGAACAAAAAAATATTGCAATTACGTTGAACGGAAATAACCCTTGCCCCCCCCCCCCCTTTATTGTTGAAACTACATGTCAACAAAAATGTAATTTTTGATCAAGTCAATCTGGCATTTGTCAAATTGGTCGTACAACAATTTTACCATTAACAAGAAACATTCTTAGTCATTTATGTACCGGTATGTGAATCAGTGTTGTAATGTACCTCTGGTGTTGTGTTTTAAAAGGATGTCATTGTACAGCTGATGATCTAATGAAACATGTTGTGTCCTAATCCAGTTATTATACTACTGTAGAATACTTTATTTTTGCTTGGAATTAATTTTCGCTATTTTCGCTGATGGAATGATTCAGTGAAAATAAAATTCAGCGAATGTACCGTTTTTCCTATATTTTACATTAAACTTATCAAAAAATCAGTGAAAATTAATTCCATACAAAATACCCAAAAAGTCTTTTCAGCGAAAATTAATCCCAGCTAAAATAAAGTATTTCACAGTATCATTTTGAAATTTGGTCATATGCATTTGTTTGTCACAATCTTGAATGCCACATTCCTTAACATGTGTTTCTGGTAAGATAGATGTTGGCTCTATTGATAAATACTATTTTCTGTCTCGGATATCGTGTTATTGACCGCATTGGATTGCATCGTCATTAACCTGAATGCAAGATAAAGTTCTGTGTTTTTAATTATATTTCCAGGATCAGATTTATAAAACTTAATACCGGTAACAAATAAACTATAAAAGAGGAATTTCACCATGTAGTAATATTATAAATAATACCGTTGTTATTTCAAAAATCTCAAATTGTTTGTGAGAATTGCAACGGCATAAATTGCCTTTCATTAAGTATCTCATTGTACAATATACAAGGAAAAATAAATAATTTGAATAAAATAACCATTAATTACTGAAATACAAGTCAAGTCAAAATTCTAATTGGGAAAACAATGTATACACTGAAGGCTAAATATAGAAGCATATAGAGAATGCCGTTTTTCATGATATGCAGTGGTGCCACCAAGTGGGGGGAAAATAGGGTTCTCCCTATGGAGTTTTTAATAAAACAGAGCTTTCTATGGCTTCCTTGGGGCCCAAATTACTATCAGACAGGTCACAGTTGAAGACGGTGGCCACATGTGATCCCTGATCAATCAGAATGTTATGGTTGCCAGAGGATCTGCTCCCCAAGGTTAAGGGGTACATGGCCGTGGCACGATGGCGTTGCGCCCCTGTTTCCTTGTTTTAAAAAATCCCTGGCCTAAATTTTTGTCTAAAAATCGAACACTGTTCATCAGATTTTGAACCAATTGATGTAATTAACATAAATAAAATGGTGTTGAGATAAGATTATTCATAGACTTTTCAATACAATAATCTATTGATTTATATAAATTACACTTATGGTGGTTTAAAGTTCTGTTTGAGAAACTGCTTTAAAACCCATTGTCTAGTCCATAGTTGTGTACAGTAAACTGTGTGGAGACATTCCCCATGTACTTGTTTACAATTACTATGTAAAACACATGCAGCTATGCAAATAAATTCCTAAAAATGAAAAACATTTTAATAAAAATATTCTCGGCATTGTGAGTGTGCTCCACTGAAAATGGGTAAAAAATGTGATTTTTAATTGAAAGAAAATGATATGGTGAGTAACCTTAATTTAATGTCGTTTTTTCTTTCTTTTTTTCAATATTTTGGCACTAACCAGGACAAAATCTGTGATCTACTTCTTTTGAACTGAAACATAGGCTTACCAGAAACTTAAAGGGCGGTGGTCGTCGCGCCACGCATGCGCAAGATATGGGTCTCGTATGAATAAAGATGGCGACTTTGACTGTTGCGCAGACCATGGAGGTAAACTGAGACGTTATTAAGCTTTAACTGGGTATTTTTTTTTGGCATTGCTTAAGTCAAGAAAAAGAAAATCACTGAATAAGCCATCATCCATATTTTACTAAGTAATGCATCAAATAGCTCAATTATAGCTTTATGGCAAGAACGAAAACCTGACGGGAAGTAACGAAATTGGACGAAAACTGTATAGGTCATATGATTCAACTCTTGTGTAATGGAAATACTTTGACATGCTTGAACATGTCCGAAAAATTACCTGATGAAATACTGAATTGGAATAAATAAGCAATACTTTCACACATGAAAGGAGCAGAAAAAGACTGAAGTCTAGATGATGTGTTGTCAAGGCCAGGTGACTTGGAACTGGAGAGCTGGAACAGTTAATCGTAACGAACTGAGATGTTACTGGCGGTATAACAAATGGTCGAGTATTGGTCAATTTGGTTCAATAATTTTCTACAAATTCGTAATAATATGAATCCCCCTCCCCCTGAAACACATGGTTGTCACGGTGACATGTCAGCAACAGTTGCGAAACGTATATTAAAATTAACAATTTCTTCGAGGTTATTGCTAACTGAAACATGAACGTTGAG